AAAAATAACCAAGCTTAAGTAACATTAAAGCAATTTTGATTGATTAGATACCTGATTACATAATCAAAAAAAATCATATGATTGATAAAGCTTTCGAAAACTATATGCTCGCGAAAGGGGAAGAGAGGGTGCGCAGAGCATACTCTCTCGCCTTCGAGCGCGCTTAGCTACAAGCTGCCTTTGCTATCTTGTTTCAGGCTCTATACGCAATGCACACGCAATATTTGTGCTCTGTCATGCTGTGTGCCTTCGTCATGTTTGTTGCCATCGCACGACGGTACATTCATACTCTGTATGGCCGTAACTTTTCTTTTTCTTCGCCGAAAAGTCATGAGACACACGCGGACTCCACCCGGGTTCCAAGTCCGAAAGACCGGCTCAGGCTAGCGAAATCGTATGAAGGCTCTACTGATGGCATGTCTATATACTATATATAATTGTAGGGAAAAAACCCTCCCTTTCCATTCCTCATATCACCGCAAGCTCCGCTTATTGAAACCCAAGATCATTCAACCATTCATCCACACATAATATAAACTTTGACTAAAATACACCCTCACCCTCACATCACGACTTTAGTCACCCACTACTCCACTAACACTATGTTAAACAAAATCTTCACAAGACCAGGGCACACTGTGCTACGCAGCCAGCAAACTCCATTGGTCCTCGCGGCCGTGGCCAGCACAATTGGAGCCTTCACCTACTACTCGATTTCAGACAAAAAAACCGAACAAGGCACGAGTAACCAGCAGTCGCCGCCAAAGACCTTCGGGAGAGGTCCAGCTTTCACTTCGTTGCAGCTACACAGCGTCGAGAAATTGAACCACGACTCGAGTCGTTTTAGGTTCAGCTTGCCTACTGAAGATTCAGTCAGCGGCTTATCCTTAATTTGTATGCTTTGAGAGCCCGCAGAATCAGTCTAGTATCTTGCTGACACATAAACTTGCAGCCTCTCTTTTGACCCTCACAAAACCTGTTCGTATTATCATGCGGCTTTCTTCTTTTTGGAACGCCACTGTTGACTCCGATCAAGTCCACAAGTTACCGCCGTTCCTATTGTGATATAGCAATACTGACTCCATTCTCTTTTTAGGCTGGCCAATGGCGTCCAGTAGTCAGACCTTACACACCCATCAGCGATCTAAGTACGCTGCTGTTTCCGTCCGTTAAGGATTTTAACTAATTGGAAATCTTAGATGCACCTGGCTATGTAGATCTGGTAATCAAGCGTTACCCAGGAGGACAGGCAAGCCAGCACATCCATTCCCTCAAACCGGGAGATTCGTTGTTTGTTCTCGCAGCTCTCGGCGGGTACAAGTGGAAGCAGAATGAATTCAATCACATCGTTATGATTGCTGGTGGGGCGTAAGCACTCGGACATCCGATCCAGCCCTATCCAGCACAGCCCTAACATTATAAATAGAGGTATTACCCCCATGGCTCAACTCCTGAAGGGCATCTTCTCCAATCCTTCGGAAAAGACCAAAGTAACTCTTCTGTTCGGCATCAACACCGATGAGGATGCCCTCTTCCGCTCCGAATTTGACGAGATTGCAAAGATTCACCCGGATCGCTTCAGCATTGTCTACACCGTTACTCACCCCGGCCCAGACTCGGTCTTCCTCAAGGGCCGAGTCACGAAAGAACTGATCAAGGACGCGTTATCGAAAGCTTCGAATGTGCCTGAGAAGGTATTTGTATGCGGGCCACCGGCGATGGAAGCGTCGCTCCTGGGCGAGCGCAATGGGAGTCAAGGAATCCTTGGAGAGTTGGGATTCGGCAAGGATCAGATTTATAAGTGCTAGATGCGAAAAAGGATTAGTCCACTGCTTCCGGAGTTTGTCTGCCCGGTCGAGAAGATGGGAAAGTCTAATAATCTGCCATATATATTCGGAGTTTTGGGCTCTCAAGTGGGTTTGATTAGCAAGCCACGTCAGGAGTCCAGAGGGTGAAAGGAAACATCTTATATCCAAATAGTAACCCAAACAGCATATTCTTGAATCATAACTAGTTAAGTATACTGTACTATACCTACGTATTAGTTCACGTAGCGCGAGACTTTGCTTGATTGTCTGCAGATTTCAGATCTTCCGGTCAAGTACTACACATCAAAATCACTATATGCTCATGATTTAAAGTAGAAATGTGTGTATAAATTCAGATAATAGTAATTCATTATTTAAGAAGAGATGAGTTGTTTACTAGTTTGAAGATATAAGAGTTAAATACTGTGTCATTTTGTTTTATAAGAACTACACGAGCTGGGTACAATTCATTCTTAGATCCTGTAGTTATAGAATGAGAAGTAAGGTACTTATAAAATGCCTGTCTATATTAACTATATATATAAACACGTATGTGAGCGATCGTGTTACGATTAAGTCCGATCCGTGATAAACACTAGTATAAGACTTTTGAATATCTTACCAGTAGAAAGAGATGATTATAAATAAGTATATAATGACTATCTTCAAAGTTATTGATATATCGAATCATTCTTTCAGATGAATATCACTCAAGTATGAAAAAAGCCCTTAGATTTTAAATTTGATCTAATAATGAGTTTAAAATAATCAACTAATACTAAACTTTAGTATAACACTTTGCCTTAAAAGAACTGCGTAAGCAGAATATAATTTATCCTTAGAATCTATAACTATAAAATTAGGAGCAAAACGCTCAAAGAGCGTTTTTATATGTTAAGTATGTATATGTAATTGTGTATATGCATATCCACGCCTATAAGTGATTACATTGCAATTAAATATAATCTATAATATTATCCCCCCTATTCAAAAAAGCTTGTTTTCAAGCTTTACAATTACCTATTTAATACTAGTTATTAGTGATTATAATAAAACATTATTATTCATTTAATTGAATAGTGTAATAAACAGATGTGTATTCGAATTTTTCTTTTTTCACAACAGAAAGATACACAAAAAGCAAAAGAGACTATTCTGTCTCTCTCCAATGTTTCTCGATCAAATCCGTCTAGCTCAAAGTGGTGCTTATAATATGCGAATCCGTTGTCATCGAGCGAATACTCTGACTCATGTCCACGGACATCATGGGTAATTTCTGGCTCTTCCCAGTCAACATTGTAATTTTGTGATGGATATCCCTCAGGAACATCCATGTAGAGAGTATATGGCTTAACGTGATGGAATGTGTCTTCTCATTGTAGGTAGCGAAGGCGTGCGACTTCATCTCGTGCCATTGCTGCTATCGTAGAACAGCCTGTCGATTGAGATGATTATCAACGAAAAGTTGATAAGTTGAAAAGTGGAATTATGATCTAATTTTGTGACTTCGAAATGGATTCAAGGTAGGAAGTGAAGCGAGGCCATCACATTCATAACTATGAGTGTCGCGTAATGTCGGGAGTACAGGTTCATCGACAGTAAAGTATGGTAAAGCTTTTTTTGAGACTCAGCAGTAGACACATCAACAGCTCGTACCTCGCTACCCCTCATCGGTTAGCTCTGCTCACATGTTACATATCGGTACCACTACGGAAGAATATCAGAGTCTATTGAAAATCGTGAGAAGCTTGGTCGCATGCGTGTTGAGCACAAGTCAATTCATGACCGGAGCCAATTTTTCCGCCACTAAACCGAGCTTACAGCCATCCGTGCGTCACTATTTCGGCAGTTCAACTAGCAGTACCAAGTACAGTCGCCGTAGGATTATCATAGGTGTTATCAGCACTCAGTTAAAAGCAAAGGGGGCAGTTTTGCTGACAATTTTAGCTATGTCACATCCGACTTACCCGTTTCAACAAATAAAGCGAGACTGTATGTAGCTGAAAACGCAAGTCGGGTTACCGGGAAAATAGCGGTTAAGATAAGACCTGCATATACATGCTATAATAGAGGTATTTAGGAAATTCCCAATCTCTGTCAAGAACATATTGAGAATCGGCCCCGCCCCTCCACAGCTTTCGAACAAAGGCCCAAATAAGCACCCATTAAGCCCGCAGCTCCATCAGTTCTATTGCCTCTTCGAAATTCAAGGTTGACGAAAACGAAGCGAAACCTCGATTTGAATCTAAGCGTCTGAAATAGTTATGACACGCCAATTGGTAAATTGTTAGTGGACGTCGACAATCTAATAATCGCGATAAATTGCGGGAGTGGAGAAAGCTTGATATTCGCTAAGCCTTAAGAATGGGAATCTCAGCTTGGCAATCAACCTAGTCGTTTTTCACTGCGAGTCCACTTAACCTTGGAAATTCCAGACAGGACCTTTTTGAAGATAAAGCACAATTAACTGAATCGCTTGCATAAATTAACTCAAACGCTATCTCTAGATGTCCAATTGTAAAAGTTTAGATAAAACTATTGCGACTTCTATGCAATGTATAGGCCGACGAGGTTGTCGGTGGACTAACATCCTCGTTTACAATAATTGAGAAAGATTATGATAAGGAAAGCAAGCACCCACAGACCAACAATGAATTGAAGAAAATAAAACACACCAGAAGATTTGAAATAGATTTAAAATTGCCTCTGTGGTGGTAAGCACTAGACAAAAATTGGAAGCTCATAAGAGTAGCAAGTTCGCTGGTCGAGATTTCGGATAAAAATCGAAAACATAGAAGTCAAGAACGAGCAAATGGGATTGAATCCTGGAACCTTAAGTGGGTTTCAGCATTAGAGATCAATGCGGCAAGGGTAAACGAATCTTTGAGCTCCTATTGGACAATATTCCTTATCTTTCTATGATATTCATAAAACGTTCAACTCGACGAAGCTACCCCCTTTAATTGTCAGGAGTGATGAAAAGAGAACCACAATTTCCAACATTCAGTGATAACAAGGCCGAAAGCTGAGCTGGCGATACATCGGGAAAGAAAGCAGCGGCGTGATCATTGTCTCAAAACCAATTTGGTGACGTTACGATTGGCATTTCTTTCTCGATCCGAGACTCACTTCTAGTCTCTGTTTGAGACCATCGCCATAGTTTCTCACTCCCGCATATTGTTGCTCCAAAAAATGTCCCCAGGTCAAATCATGGAGAATGAAGTCAGAGTGGTTGATCTGAGCCAGTCAACGATACACGAGGTAACCCAGGAGACGGGGGATACGAGAAACTATATCAAGTTCTCGGGTGTGGTTCTGATCTCAATCGCACTTTGCTTGGCCACCTTTTGTGTTGCAATGGACAATACGATAACTTCGACCGCAGTTCCTCGAATTATCCAAGACTTCCATAGCATTGAAGATGTGGGCTGGTACGCATCGTAAGTTCTATATCATCTGTCAACTCCGAATGAGACTGTGGGAAAGGATTAATATATCATTGAACAGAATATACCCATTGACGTCCTGTGCTTTCCAACCGTCATATAGCAAGATTTATACAATCTTCTCCGGAAAAATAGGTTTCATAGTATCGCTACTAATTTTCGAGATCGGGAGCGTTGTATGCGCTACAGCACCAACCTCTCATATCTTTATTCTTGGACGGGCATTAGCAGGTCTGGGATCTGCTGGAATACAAGCAGGTACTACACTCATTCTCGCCGAGTGTGTTCCGCTACGCCAGCGACCGACATGGAACAGCGTTGTTGGTAGCATTTTTGCAGTCGGGAGCGTGGCTGGACCTTTACTGGTAATTTGCAAATTTCCCATATCTAAACAATTGGTTGTAGTGATTAACAAATTAAACAGGGTGGAGCTTTCTCGGGTTCAACGACATGGCGTTGGTGCTTTTACATCAATCTTCCAATCGGAGGCGCTGTCATGATTTTTATTGCTCTTTTTTATGATGGGAGTCGCGGCAGTAAGAAAGTATTTCAATCTTCCGGTTTTCGCAGTCAAATATCACGGTTTGACTTGGGTGGTACTTTCACCTTCATGTCAGCGACGATATGTCTTCTTTTAGCAATCTCATGGGGTGGAACCACGTATGCATGGAAGAATGCTCGCATCATAGCTCTTCTAATAGCCGCTGGTGTTCTATTTTGTTCCTTTTTCAGTGTTGAATACCTGAAAAAAGATAATGCCACCATACCCTTACGCTTACTACAAAAGCGAAGCATAGTAGCGGCAATTTGGTTTGGAATTTGTCTCGGAGGGGTATTCTTTGTATGTAGCTCCAAGAGACGCATTGCATTATTTCTGGCTGACCTAAGAAACTATTTCTGCCCCAGGTCAATGTATTCTATATACGTGAGTGCGAAAATAGTTCAGATGAAAACAATAAAGACTGATTTACTTTTAGCGCTTTGGTTTCAGATCGTGGACGGCGTCTCTGTCATAAAATCGTCGATTCTTTTCATACCATTCATGATTAGTGTCGTTGGTGGATTCATGTTCGCAGGCTTTGGAACCGCTGCCACTGGATATTACACACCATTCGTCTACGCTGGCTCAATTCTCATGTCAATAGGTACTGGTCTTTTGATGACCGTCGAGCCTCAGAGAACCTCGCGAGCTAAATGGGTGGGATTTCAAATACTTTGTGGAGCTGGAATTGGTCTAGGAGAAGAGCAAGGGTTATATATGGTTCAGACGACGCTTTTAGAAGATGACGTTGCAACTGGTATTGGCATTGTCTTATTTGCGCAGACTTTTGGTGGAGCACTTTTTGTGTCAGTTGCCCAAGCCGTCTTTCTGGAAAAAATCAGCAAGGCCTTGAAAACGCTGGCCCCGAACCTAGATCCTCACTCTGTCTTGGACGGCGCATCGACGGTACTTTCGGGCTCTTCTAATATTCAGACGTCAGTAGAATTACAAGCGGTCTACGGTGTCGCAATCAAAGAAGCTCTTCGAGTTGGACTCATATTGGCAACAATATCGAGTGTAGGCGCCGTGATGTACGACTGGAAAAGTTTAAAAACTAAGCGAAATGATGGAAGAGATGAAAGTAGTAGTAACCATGAGCTGGAATAAGTAGCAGACTCTGTAATGGTGGCAATTAGATAAGGTCCAATGTGAGCACCATCCCATACACGCATTGGTGAGGGCTAATAGATTCTGATTGAAGCCACGGATTGATTCACACAAATTCATTATAGTAATACTTTTTCATAGATGTATATATAATAGGCGTCTGGAAATGAAAATTAGTTCCTTAAGAGCATGTTAAATTGAAATACTACGATGATCTCACTATATAGTAAAAGTAATATCATCAGGGACTGGAGCGCGGAGGAAGTTGGGAGTTATTTCTTTTTCCTAGATGCAATGCGGGGAAATGGCACCGACAATGAGATAGCCATACATAAATCTGTTTGCTACAAATATCAGAAACTTGTATTCTCTAAATCATATTCTCTACAGGCAAAGACATGTCTATAGTGTTGTTTCAGACTACTATGAAGACGCACCGTAATCAATATCTTTGAGCCCAAACTGCGGGTCACCCGAATCTGTCCCACCGACAACCCTTTGCTTGTGCCAGCATGAGATTCCCAGTGTTATGCAACCACCTGAGGTTATAGATATGCTTCTTTTGCGCGATCGTGCGACTTCCGCAGGTACGGGACACAGTTTGAGCTTCCACACAATCAGAGTAAAGAAAATACGCATGGCTGAAGTAGCTTGCTTTTGACCTATAAGTTTGTGCTATTAGCTTGATTCCAGTGATGCAATACTACAAATCAAGATGAGATGTCGCGCAACTTACCAAAACAAGCACGAACACCAGTGCCAAGCATATGGCGAGGACCAGCTCGAGCATTGAATCGTTTCAGACCGTCACCATCCTGTAAGAGCCACCGTTCTGGTTCAAACCGAGATAGATCGTCTGAAGACCAGTTGCCAGTCCACTTGTCCTTAGATGCATTGCTGGTATTCTTCTCTCCATTACTCAGATCATTCGTGCTTCGATGAGTATAAGTTCGTCCACGGGTCTGTTGCAATAAAGTAGCTTCAATTCACGTGTACTTTATGTTTTGTGTGACTGACGAGAAGAAAAACAGTAGTTCCCTTGGGAATATGGTGGTCCATCAGGTTAACACCCTGCGTGGTGGTGCGCACCAGAGCTGGAGTAGAGCCTACACATCGAAGCATCTCCTCACAAACGGCATCTAGATGTGGTGTTGATGCCGTTGCAATCTCTTCTGCACTATGAACTGTTGCGGCTTCAGCTACTTCTGAAAATATTGACCTAAGCTCCGCTCGAAGCCTTTGTTGTATATCCTGATGAGCTGTAAGGATCTTCAAGCCCCAGATTGTCAAGGAGTGACCACTTGACAGGGTTTATATAGTACAACCATTGTTCCAGAATTATCCAGAACGCTCCACACTTTTATAGATTAGTAGTAAAGTGATTGATCCCTGATATACGTACCTATCTATATATATAAGCGATGATATTACGATTGAGTGCGATCCGTAACATTTAGATAAGTAAGAACGGCTCTATTATTATAGTGATTGTATGATATAGGAATATTATCTCAGAAAAAATAAACTTCTAAAAGTCATTTAAAGAGTATATTAAATCGATCTCAGATAATAGTTTAAAATAACGATCTTTTCACGTTCATCTCAAGGTATCATAGCACGTGATAAACACGTGAGATTAATTCACGTTCCATCTCATATACGCATTACGTAAATGAGATAGTGACATATGTAGATTCCCCTTCGTATGAAGGGGGCAGATAGAATAACTATAACTTTTAACCTTGTATGATTTGTATATACACTTTGCGAAGTCTGTCTAACACAAAGAGATATACATCATGAGAATTTCGGAGGATTTCGAAGGATTTAGAAGCAAAAATATACATTTGATTGCTATTTCCTATTGCTACGCTATACCAGGTATCATATAATTCTAAAAACCATAGGATTTTCATCTCCTATACCCCCGGCATTATTTCCTGGTATAAAACGTCCATTCATTCCTATTATCAAAGTAATGTGTATCTGGTATCTCTCTCTCACAAGCAAAAACTCCTCAAAAACTCCCTGTCGACCAAGCTTAGCAAGTACCTCTCAATAACCCTCCTTGACCTTCTCAAACAGACCAACTTCCTCCTTAGTAGGTCTACTAATGTTGATAGGAACCTGATCACTTCCATCAACCCGGCGCAGTCTCTTTAGTGTGAATCTCCAATACTTTCCTCCCTTTCCGTTAGTTCCAACTTTGCCCTCGATGACCCTATAGAGCCCATCGTATCGGATACCCATAGCTGGCCCATTTTTCCACGCACAGCCGGCAGTTCTCAAAACACGAACTGGATTCTTGGTCACTATTGATCGTTTCAAGACTATGACACCGTGCTTTGTCGATTCAGGTTCTTTTGCCGTGGAATCTATGGCTCCAGGGGCAGAATATTCGATAGTATCACCCTCATCCACGTCGAATCCTTCATAGTGTTTGGAAATTATGATACTATAAGCTCCTTCCTCTACATCTCCGACGATTCCAGCTTGTGGAGCGCCTAGAGTAAAAGATTAGTCTGTGTTCGTGGTAACTGGCGATGCTGTATAAATAAACTTACCATGAGCACCATCTCGAAGCGCAGCTATTTGTCTGGCCCAACAATCCCCGACAGTAAGACCGTTGTGACCATATATCTTACAATCTTTAGCCTTGAAATCTTTTCTGATAGACAAGTTGAGAAGACAGCCACGCATTATACCGCTATCTCCCCAGATAAGATGATTGGAAGGCGGTAACTGAACGGGGGCTACAGGGCCAGAGGTCGAATTTCTAAGAGCCGAGTTGTCTTCGGAGGTCGAATTATCCCTAGGTTTTTTCGAAGAGATAGGAGACTCGTCGACTGACTTTCGCTTCTTGTTTTTATTTGCATTAGCAGATTGTGGGTCGACAGCCAATGGTGCTGCTGGTAGAGGTGGAGGTGGCGGGGGAGCTTCGAAACCATTTTGAGCCTCAATTCTATCGATCAGGGCTTTTGCAATGCTGGAGTATTCTTTGGGGCACTTGAACAATGGATTGGCAAAGAGTTCGAGGACGTCCTTGAGTTTGAGAGGCTTGCTATGATGGTGATTAGCTACTTTATCGTTGTGGATACTACAAAAACAGCAGAAGTAACCAAAAGAATGGCCCCGTACCTGAACTTTGGTTCTACCGGATCGATGCGTGAGATAACACAAAGAAAGATCTTGACTTTTCGCCAGTTCTCAAGATTTGGCTGATGACCATTCTTGGAAGAAACAGCTGCCGTTATGACAGTACCTTTTATCTCCTGGAGTGTTCTAAAGGCAGACGTAGGTTCAGTATTGATATCTGAGACGTTAAATCCAGGTCCCATATTAATATCCAACAGCTTTTTGATGGCATCTTTATGGTCGAACTGAGGCTCAATCGATAAGATGTCAATATTGTCATTATCTTTAATATCCGGCTCCTCTTTTATAGAAACTTCGGTATTTTCGGAAACAGGAGATAATTGAGTATCTGACAGCGGTTCAGATTTTATTCGCAATTGCTCCTAGGTGAAAGTTAGTTCCCAATATTAGGTTTCTCAAGTAGATATAAAACTTACAATTGTGGAGTCAATCTGGTCAGGAGAGGTAGCAGAAAGAGGAAGCTCCGGCAGAGGTTCTTTCTTAACTCGTGATTGCTTTTGAAATAAACAGTTAGCTTTCAATTCCAGAATTCTTGAGAAAGCTCTTGAATAAAAGTTACAGGACAAAGATCAAGTTATAAAACTATAATCCTTTCGAAAATATAACTATGCCATGTATGATAGTGCCCATAATTGATGGATTGAAGACTTACAAGAGCAGATGCCCCACTAAGTGAAGCTACCCCTCCATTCTCCATACCCAGGGAACCCATGGTAAAGAGAAGGAAAGTTTGATAGTAATTGGAAGTAACGACCAGCTGAATGAAGCAAAGAAATTGTTATTTTTATAGGAAAACCAGTATAAAAGGAAGTGATATCTGTTGATACATCTATTTTGTTGTTGTGTTGAAGTGGAGGAAGAAGGTTGTAGAAATATCTAGGCTTGGGCCAGGTCCTTAATTTATAACTAACTCTTAAAGACGAACGCGGCAAATACTTACTCCACGCTACTGATTGGATAAAATCGAAAGGTATAGATGATTGACCTCACGAAGAGTGAGTAGGTAGGTAGTGATTACTACGATAAAATGTCTCTCGATTATTTAAAAAGGGTTTAAAGATATATTTTAATTGTAAATAGATATAGACGCGTAAAAGATACGATCTGCTACTTGTTACATAAAGCTTTCTCTCTTACTAGTAGATAATAAAGAATCTCTACTAAAAGTAATAGTAAACGAGGAAGGACTTCTAATAGGAAGGAACCCTTGTCGACGCCCAACCTGCGAAACAGCGGATATTTAGATAATTATGAGACATGTACGATAAAGAACTTCGTAATACGTATATACGTCTCATAAAAATGGTTGGCTGGAAGGTTAGAAGGATCTAGTTTATAGAATTGGTCATTCTATAGTTTTAAGGAATGTGAAAATTAGTTGTTTAAAAAAAGATCTTTATTTGGATTAAGTTGACAACATTCGAGCTCACTGGTGCTTGGGTCACCGGGGAGTGAAGTGGTGGTGGGGTGGCTTCCAACCCCATGATACCCTCAACTCTACACAAATATTGCAACAAGTTCCAAACCACACAGGTAAGAATCAATTGTAAATCAGTTGTGAAGCGACTTTCACTACATCTAAGTCCTGGATTCGATACCAATTTGCTCAACAATACAGCCAGGTACTTAATTGTTGATTGACACAGAATACTGGTCAAAAACTATTTTCTCAAGGACTGACTACAATCATGGATGAATTCAATAATTCTATCTTAGAGATGAAAGGGGTTTACTTCTCTGCCGCCTGAAACATACATAAGATGAGTCTGTCTTTCTGTCGTTGCTATATTCTTTTTTATATCTTTTTGCCATAGAAGTGCTGACCAGTAGTGTGCCATAGATCATAGAGTTACCCCGCTACACCAGCTCTCTCTCATTTCACGTTCTACAGTCTGCAGTCAACCATCCGTCACTATTATAATTCAATACAATGGAGGACTACGCGCACCAAGAATCACTGAGCATGTGAAAAGAACTGTGACTCAGTCTTGTCAGCAAGTACGTGGGTGGTCATGTCATGGACCGACGTAGAGGGTTGTCGATATGAACGGGGATTTCCCAGACAGGGAGCATAAAACATGGAACAAACACATCACTGATGGGAAGCCAAAGTTGGTGGAGATACCATTCAATCTGCAAGACTAAACAAATGATACAATGGAGACAATTGGGAGACCACTGGGAAGGAACACACAAACACACAAATCTGGCGATTTCAGGTAGTGTAGTGGAAGCAATGTGCGCAAAGTTGCCATATCTGCTATTGAACAAGAGCTCTCAAGCCAGTTCAACATCATGGAAACAAGCATGGAGAGAACCCACTGGAAGATAAAATACAACTCCAATTATCCAATTATCCACAACCAACATCAAGCTCAAACAACAACACCAAAGAAAACACACAATCGAAACGAACAAGGAACAATTGATGGGAATTACGCAGATTGAACAAGCAAGGCAACATGAGAAAGTTCAAGCTTGGGTTTCGATAAGAGATTATATCAAAAATTGACACTAAATTGTGCTTAGTTCGACCCGAAGTTCACCCAGAGAAAGTTCAGTCACATGCAATCCAACCAAAAACAAGGACAATGATAGCATTACCATTGAAGCATTGGGTTTGGAATTCTGGGAATAACAAAAATTCTGGGAACGTTGTTAATCAGAGACGATGGCCAAAAAAATCTGTTTCAGACTATAATATGTGGATGCTACGAATTATTCCAAAAGAAACAGGTTTTCATCAGTCAAGCTGATATGCTCAGATTATGAGTTCCTGATCAAGACTTAGTTGATGCTGTGATGGAAAGGGGGTGAAGAGATCATGTCTTGTCTTTCAATATGCTACAGGTGTTAAGAGTTCAAAAGAATGAAGTCCAGAGGGTTGTAATCTAAGGGGAGAAATCTACAGCCTGAGTTTGCGAATTTGAGGATATCAAAAGAGCGAAGTGAGTGAAAGAACAAAATCCGGATCTAGATCTGAGGAGCATCTATGACAGGAGCTCTATATGATCATTCACAACTCAAGAACGGTCCCAAAATTCACGGGCAGAAAGTCGCATTTGTAGTCGTTCTTAGCGATAGCTCATAGTGAGTACCCAGGTAGATTTCTCCTACTCCTCTCCAATGCACCGTCATACCAGAAGCAATGTCCGAATTGTCAATATGGTTCTCAACTATCTTAAGTAGCATGGACTCCCGAAGCCAGGTACCAAGCAAATATTCATCACCGGATCTCAAAGCACACTCAATAATCTCAGCCCCCTTGCCCTCTCCTTTCACCCAGCGATCCGTCGGAAATCTGACAAGTGCGTAGCCCTATAGATGGGGAATGAGAGCATCCACATCTTCATTCTATCACAACTTACAAGAAAATGCAAAATACCATCCAAGATGCAAGATCTCGACAGGTATGCAGAATGCTACACTTAACTATGCTTTAGTACCTTTCCCTTCTTTCAAGTATCCAGGTACCGCGGCCATTTCACCCAAAAACGGCAATTTCCTACCTGATAGACGAAGATTTAGCAGTTGAAATCGGCTCGGTTGGCTACTGTTACATAAAATGCTACTCCAGACTTATGACCACATCTAATCCCTCTTTTCGATTTTCCCCCTTGCAATCTTCCTTTCAGACATACCTCCTGCAGCGGCATGGAAGTTTTGTGTAGGTATAATTATCCAAAATTCACGTATGGCGAGAGCCAAGAATGAGAGAATTGGTATCTAGATCGTGGGAGGTGGTGTGTAGTAGGCATGTAACAGATACTCCACCTTCTCTATTCCAGATGTGACGACACAGACGCCGAATCTTTCGAACTGTGTAGAGACAAATCAACTCCATACAACACCATCAACCAACCTCGAAAATCCAACCTCCCTCCCATCCTTTCTCTATTTCGAGCCAGCAAAAATCTTATACATATGATTCATGCACACCTCAAACTACAAAAAAACAACTTCAAAGCCGTCTCAATTCTCTTCTCTATTCAAATTTCATAAATGATAAATGATAATCATACTGTATACATTATCATCCTCTCCCCCAAAACAAAAATCCCAACTCCAAAATCTCGCTAACTCAACCCAAACTCCTTGCTCCTTACTCCTTGCTTGTGACATTTTGAAGAAAAAGGGGGAAGAAAAGAGGTAAGTGAATCCTTTCAGCTGATTCCTTTCTCTTTCCACCAATTGGGGAGTAGATTTCCATCCCAGGGTAAATGTAAGTTCTTCGAACTCTTTTGGTTCGGGAACCATGTCATCGACTCGACCTCTCTCTCGCTGTTAATCAAGCATCTTGAATTTCTGCTTCCTCCTTCGTTCTTTCGTTCGCCTCCTTAAAACACCATTCCTCACACCCTGCAAATTCACCTTACTCTAATACCAAAGAAAGTACCATCCCCATTCACAACTCACCCATTACTCTGCTACCTTTCCCTCTCCCTCTCCCCCTCACCCCGGAAACGCAGCCGGCGGTCTGGGCGGCGTCATAAGAAGTCCATTCCCATTCCCATTTCCATTTCCATTCGTACCCCCATTCGCGTTCCCACTGCCATTCCCATTCCCATTCCCATTCCCACCTCTCTGCGAAGGCGCCATAAACGAAATCTGTCTTGCCCTCGCCGGTTTCGCAGGCATCGCTATCACCTTCGCAAACGCCTCCATGCTTGCTTCGTGATCTCGTAGTCTCCTTTCGTGTTTTCTCATGAATTCTAGGGGTGGTTTTGTGTCAGTTTTTATATTCCTTGATTGCAAACTTAGTCCTCTGATTTCGTATTCCGATTCCCTCACGTGATCCTTCCCCCTTCCTCCTCCTCACCCCGAAACCTCGAGATGAATCAACAAATAAAACACACCTTCATGTTTCCTGACCTCTTCCTGATGAATCCTCATCTCCTCCGCATGTTTCAACGCTTCCGTCTCATAATACTGTTCCATCTCATACTGTTCCTGGGCAATCCGATCCGCCTCGGCCTGGATGCGCATCTGGGCTTCCATCATGCGGTCCTGCGCCGCGCTCATTTCGTCGAGTTCGCGCGCGCGCTGTTCGGCCTGTCGCTCATATTCGACGATGCGTGGGGGTTTTTGAGACATGGTGGTGAGGGTGTGGAGCGTGAGAGAGGGGTGGTTGTGGCTAGATGGTAGGTGTGCTGATTGAAGACGTGGGTGTGAGGATGAGAGGGGTGCATGTGTGAATTGATAGATTTTCTGTTCACTCAATCAATCGAGTTCAATTTTCAGCAATAGAGCGAGGAGAGATAGATAGGTATCCAAGATACGTATATAGATAAGTAAGTAAGTCGGTAGACAGACCAGACAGACAGACAGACCGGTATAAATCCCAACGAATCAAGAAATTCCTAAATCCGCCCCCCCCTCCCTCTCTCCAAAAATCAAAACAAATTAAGATTAAGTTTTGACAAAAACCTCGCCATCCACGTTTCGACACCCATCCGCATTGTCATATCCTCCTCACCATCCCTAATATTTCACCCATTATACACCATACCCATCTCCAATCTCCATCTCCATCAAACCCACACCATCAGACGTTCCTGCGGTTTCATTTTCCAACTTTCCGTACCGTACCGTATCCAGTTGCCGCGCTGCAAACCTGTAACAGTTGGGTTTGAGACAAGTCGTGTGTCAAAATCGTGGGTGCTTGGGCGTCTTGCAATTCCTTGCTCAGGCGAATTATTTAGTTCATCGTCGATGTTTTAGTCTCTGGTCTGTGATCTCCACTCTTTCTTGGCATTTCTGAAGCGATAGAATAATTATAAAGAGATGTTTGTTTGTATGTGTGCGCATGGGGAAATTGTTTCGTTTGGAACATTGGGTATGAGTTCTCTGGGCCTTGGGTTTGTTACGAGAGTTATAGATCGGATTTTTTTCTCAGCATGATGGGTTCGGATTTTCGATCTTCGGATATCAAGGTAAGAAGAATGAGAAGGTTGAGACGGGATTTGTTTCTGGCTCGTCCCGTGAATCATGGCGGATATATATGCTCGGTAGATACGTACGACGGGTTCATCCTAACTTTTGTGTGATGGAGATATTTGAATACTTTTCGTAATGGAAAGTTATATATTCAATTGTGTAAAAAGCACAAGATACAAGGAAGTAAATCAATATACAATAAATTGGCAATTGCTCAAACGCCTACCTTAATTTTGGTTCCAATTCCAGTACCAATTCCATGTTACTACACTCAACCCCAATCTTCCCCCAATCAAATTACCAATCAATGCCACCTCCCTCTCCCCCAACTCTCACTTCCCTTCGCTTTTCCGCCGGCTTTCTCCCCTTCATCCTCCCTCCATCCATCGCAAACCCAATCTTCTCATCTAACTTTTTAAACTGTCTTTCGCCGGCCTCCCCTTCTCTAACTTTCCACCTCTCCATTCCCAACACTCCATCCAACTCATAAACCGGCGGTAACTTCAAATACACCCATCCATCCTCTCTCTCCTCCGCCTCAAAAATCGCTATACTAACTTCCTCGTCATTCTTGCACCTTCCCTTATCCTCTCCATTCAAATTAAAATTCCTCTTATGATTCGGACACGAGATCCAAAGATTCTTCTCCTCTTTCCCATCACTCCCAGTAATAGGAACCGAACCATGACCCGAATCTCCAATCAACCCATCACTCAACACAAACGCCCTCTTATGCGGACACATCTGCTGACTAGCCAACCACCTCCCCTGCACTCTCCAAACCGCCAACTGCGTATCCCCCCTCTTCACACTCGCCGAAATCCCACTGGGCGCCTCATCCGCGCCCTTGAAATGATCTTTCTTAATCACCCTCTCCCAATTCAAACTCGTCCACTTCACATTCCGGAAATCCGTCTTCGCACTCTCCTTTGTCCAATCCACCGGTCGCGTTTGTCCCCGCTCAACCTGTACATCCATAGTTTCCACCCGATCATCACAATTGTCAAACTGATTAAATCTTTCTCTCATTTCCTCATCCTCAATCGCAGATTTCCATTCGTCGAAGAAACTCCCCACTAGTTCCTCCATCTGCGCTTCTAGACTCGCACAAATACCTAGCTTATCTTCTAAAATAACTTCGCGAAGATATTTGATCCCGCCGGGAAGAGCTTCTAGCCATCGAGCTGTACGTTGCAACTTATCGGCTGTGCGGATGTAGAAGATGAGGTAGCGGTCCAGAATCGAGATAACCGTGTCTGGGGGGACATCTTTGGCCAGGAGTTCGCTGTGGCGGGGTGTAGCGCCACCATTTCCTCCAACAAAGATATTGAAGCCTTTTTCTGTGGCTATAAGTCCGAAACTAATGATAGCCGATTAGTATTGGTATTCAAGAAATAAACAAGAAGAAAAGCCATCAAAACCAAAAAAAGAGGAACCTACTCTTTATTCTGCGCCTCAGCACACTCCCTCACACATCCACTTACACCCCCCTTAATTTTATGCGGCGATCG